AAATATATTTAAAATTACTCATTTTGTTTGTAGCATAAACGTTTTTTTTTATTGCTACTTAGATATACAAGGTATGAGCTTTATCACGGCAGTGATATAATTCAGTGATTTAACATCCAGCAGCTTCGCTGCCATGGTAATGTCGTGAGAATGGATGAAGATATTCCAGTAGTTGGAGAAAGTAGGCGTAGAGGTAGATCGTATCTCCGGTGGAGTGAACAAGTTGAGGGAGTACAATTCGGACTTAATGTACAAGACTGGAGAAAGCGCGCAAGTTACATGTTTCTATAGATTAATAAAACCACATTTTTTCTTAAATATATACAATAATTTGTTTATTTAAAACCGAAGAACACAAAAAGCCCTGATCGAGATGACTCGGAAGTAACGACTCTGTTCAACTTACTTTTAAATTTTCTTCACCAAGCCATTAGTACAGTTTACAATTGCAAACTTTATATTTTAAGCGATCTTAAGTATAACAGCATAAGGCTGGCTTAACATTAGGTAATGTTATATACAAAGTATTTTAGATTAATCTGATTTGCTTTGCTTTGGCGACGTTCTGTTGTGGTTGTTGCATAGGTACAATGGCAAGTCATCATCATTGTGTATAACTCCAGATGAGTCGCCTGGAGAGTTATGCTATAGCAGGTTGAATCCCGGTAATGGATTGTTATGGCCAAAGAAGAAGAAGGTATATACAGAGTGTTTACCGAAAACATTTCGTAAAGTTCGGCAATTTTTGCAAAGTGCTACGTGATTCCAAAGTTGTTGGGAATAACATTTTTCTCACCAATATCTGTATTGAATGGAATATTTTTTTTGGTATTCAAATCTAAACCCACATAATCTCCTTTTATTTTTCTCAATATAATCTATTGTAGCAGTTCGTATTTAGTATTACATATCCTAAATATGTTACACACTTCTTATCTCTATGACTGTGTACAAATCTCCGACTGCTGTTAATTCTTCATGCAATTTTTTAGTTTATTTTGTCATATATGGTCGTATATGGCATTCTTAGAATCCTTCGATAGATGCATCATTTAAACGGTTCGAAAAAATTATAATTAGTAAAAGGGATAGTACACTGCGACCTAAAAAATCTATTGTGTCTATTGTGTGGGTTAGAATGTTTCTTTAAGTCCGATTTCTTTAATGAAAGCCTGTATAGAGCGTATCTTTCCTAGCTTTAAATAATTCTTTCGAAGATAAAACAATTTAATTATTATTTTATTACTATTTTAAACGTTTATGTGTTTAAGATTATTTAACCTTTTATTTCTACAAAGCAATCAATTTACAATTTTTATTGATATGACATCCCGGTTATTGACAATTTTATACTTTTTCGATAGCACTTTTTTTTATAATTTTTTACGAATTATTATTTATTTTTAAGTTTAATCAGTTGAATGCAATTGTTTTGTACATTAAACCATTAACTATCTATTCACCTGTATTTTTTGTGAACTGTAGCTACTTTCACGCTTCTGCGGGTACAGTATCGTGTACAAAAATCATCAACAGATAGACTGCATGTCATCCTTAAAAATGAGATCGTTATACAAGATAAATACATTTCAACTAATAATGTAGCTGTTGGTAAAACTTTTTATTTAACTGCCTGGACTTGTGGATAACACAACTGTCAATTCCATTTGTGAATATTAAAATTCAGAAATTTTTGTTAAAATATCTAAAACTTTAATTTTAATTGTGGTTTTCTTTAATGACTTTAAAGTTTTGCATTAAAATTAAAATGATAAAATTTTGTTTAGCCAACATTATTACATCCATATTACATCCATATGAGTATATGGACTTGTGTAGTGTTAATGTACATAAAGTATATACGTATATATCCTGTATTTTTGTACTAAGGGTACATATTTGCATAAAAGAATTCCTTTTTTGCTCATCTTTGATAAAATGTTTATGCCCCAAAAACATTTAAATGCGTGTGTTAATGTATAAATTTGACATACGAGAGCAGTACTATAGTTGAGGCAGTATATGAAAGACTTCTAGTTTAGTTGTTGCAAGGATATCGTTACAATTTTACTGAGTTTAACATAAGTGGAAGGCTCTTAATTTACTTTTTTGGTATAATTGTTTTGAACTCAGTGAAATGTTACTACGGAAACTTTAAACAATTCGAAACAATTATTCAGTGTTTCCTTTATAAAAAAATAGGTCAGAAATTAAAAAATTCACCAAAATTACATATACAAGGTTAGAGAAGCTCAAGTAGTGAACAATAAGTGAAAAGTTACTAAGCAATTTGAAAATAAATGAAAAGTGCTGTAAGTTTTAATAAAGTGAGTGTTTCGTAATTTTAAAATATAATTATTTACTTAAATATGTTTTAGGCAGAACTGAGGGATCACAAAAAAGTTTGCTTTGGAATAGGCACAATATTCAATGTAATTGAATAAAATTTTATACATTATTAATTTATTAATATTATTTTACTATGTTTAGAGTTTTGCCAAAACTTCAATACCCTTCAC